AAAAAAAAAACAAGTACCGAACTCTCGAAGCCATAAATAAATTAAAAGAAAAAAATGCAAGAAATGAAATTGAAAATGAGAACAACAATTAAAGATATAAAATCACACACCGACAAGAAATTGGGCAGGCAACGTGCATCACTCGTAACAGAAAATGTAATGTACATGAAAAGTCGTGAACGATGCGAAGTACCTGACAGGCTGACACTAATATCACACATGCAAAATGCAACATGATACAACGTATCCTACTGCTAATGGACTGGCACCACATGTCGAAAAAAATAAAAGAAACAATAGTCTACAAGTCGTGTCGTAGCTGCCTAGATGATGCAAGAAAAAAAACTATTGTACAGTCTGAACTCAGTCTGCTGCAACCGACGGCACTCTACGAACACCCTACTGGCACCAAAATCATACTCTACAAACACCCTACTGCTACCAAAATCATACACAGCAACAAGTTAAGCACGCACACAATCACTGAGTGTCTGACAATGCTGAGACAAGACGAGACGACTCAGACTACCAAAAAAACTACAACCGCACAACATGACGACGTAAAGTGCGAGTAGGGGAGAAGCGGAGTGTTGGCCTCATCGGTCAACGACCTTTCTTCCCCTTCCCGTTGTGTCTCTTCGTGCCCCCCAGAGTGTCGGATGTCGACCTCTTCCTCCCTCGTGAGGATGAAGAAGTCCGTGCAGCGGAGCGTCTAGATGCACGCGTCGGTGGGGTTCCTGGGGAAGGTGGGGGCTCATCGTAGTCGTCGTCGTCGTCACCATCGAAACCGCTCCTGCTATTCTCCTCTCCCCCCTCCTTGCCCTCGTAGTCTTCGTCCGCATCCGGCACAGCCGCATCCGTATTAGGATCATCCTCCTCAATGGTGACTGGGACTCCTCCCTTCCTCAATACAACAACCCTCGCACTAGCCTCTGCAATGGTCTGCTCACGGCGGGATCCACGAGGCATCCCCAACCCCTCCGCCCCCGAACTCTCTCCAAGTGTTGCGCCTCCCTCTGCAGGCACAGGGCGTGGACGAGCAGGCACTCCACACTTGCGTGGAGTCTGCTCCTGCACGGCACGCGTCGCTGCTCTCAGAGCGTACTCCAAGGTCTCGGTGGACACTCCCCTACCACGACCTCGCTGAGGCTCACAACCTGAAGCCGGTACCTCCCTCGCCGCGGTCGTCCTAGCGCCTCCTCTTCCCAAGCCCGGTTGAAGGCATGCAGTGTGCTTTGTGACACGGCGAGTGGAATCCAAATCTATATCTGTCCTCCCGAATATCGTCGTGTCACACACGTCCTGCTGAACTGCTGTCGTGTCACGAGTCCTAGATCTCCCAGGCGTGTGTGGGGATCGAGAGCCTCTGCCTGTGGGCGACGATGATGGATCACCTGCAGGTGCTCTGGGAGGAGGGGGTGGCATGTCTCCTGTGCGTGGCGCTGTCTCCGTCACGCCACCCGAAACCCCTGGAACATGTCTGGCGGTATGTCCTCCGGTGGAGGTAGACCCAGACCACACGGGCGACCGAGACCCCATGGAACCGAAGGGATCGATTGCCATGGTGGATGCTCGAGCCTCCGGTCAAATTTGCGTCAGTCCAAGCGAGTAACATCGCGCACATCCTCTCTCGCCAACTCCTCAGCATCCAAAGGACGACGGACCTCCTGCGGCGCAAAGTGGCTAGGAAGACGTGGGGGCACAACCACCGGCCCGGACCCCAAATCCGTGATAACGGGCGGCGACACACCATGTACTGCCATCTGAACCGCCTGCGGCTATCGGGCCTGAGCCAAGTGCAGGCCCGAGAACAGAACGACTGTACCCGTCGCTGTCTCCTGGACCTCGCGTCGTGCGTCTATAGCCCCCTCGACTTGCCGCTGTCCTGCCTGCACAGCCTCATCCACCGCATGAGGCCGTCCCTCCACAGCAACGTCCGTTGCCTCTGCTCCACCCTGCATAGCCTCGGGTACCGGCTCTGCTGCTACTCCCTCCGCAATGTCCTCCCCCGCCACCACCCCACCCTGCACACAATCCCTCCCTATCTCTCGACGTCTGGCCTCCTCTACGGCCCGTGCGAACGCCTGAGCACGCGGGTCAGTCGATGCCAAAAGTCTAGCCCTCTCTCGCTCCATGATGTCGCGTGCTGCATCTGGAGACTCATTCATCGTCCTCTCTCTCGCGGTCTGCGTCGAAGTTTGCCCTGGCGCCTCGTCCCTCAATGGAGCCCGGTCCGTCGATATCGCCCCGCCGCAACTAGGTGGAAGGCCATCGACAAATCTAAGTCTAAGTGGGTCCCCATCCTCCGAATCTGAAATCCCAAACCCCCTCGCCACACCTGGGGTCATACCCGCTATGGCCGGACCGAGCTCCTCCGTGAGGAACTGCTGCATGAGGCGCTCGTCATCGCCCCCACGCTGCACCTCGGCCTGTGCGGCTATCTCCTCCTCCACTGCAGCTGCCGACGGTGCCTCCTCCTCCTCCACTGCTGCTGCCACCTCAACCTCCACTGCTGTTGCTCCTCCACCTGCTCCTCCTGCTGCTGCCACCTGCCCCTCCACTGCTGTACCTCCTCCTGCCGCCGGTGGATCCACCTCCAGCATTGATGCTGCCATCTCCTCCAGCACTGATGTTGCTGCTGCTGCTGCTATCTCCACCATCGCGGCTGGGATCGTCGCGTCCGGCACCGCCGCTGGTGCCACTGAACTCTCCACTGCTACTGCTGAAGGTGCCCCCTCCTCCTGCAATATCCCCCGGGAAGGTGATCATAACCTAAGCTGGCGGACTGCCCCGCCTCTGTGGAGAAGGTCGCGCTGAGGCAAAGAGGACCCCAACTCTTCCCTGTCCGGCTCAAGTGGCGAGACGGGCGATGGTGGTGCAGGACTCGGAGCAGGAGGTGGCGGCATGGACGAATCCCGCCTCGTTGGAGTGGGGGTCGTCGCCTGCGCCTCTGGGCCGCCAGTGGATGCGACCTCACCGAATGGGCCCCATAAGTCCTCGTCTCCCCCCAGCATCTCCCTCTCCGCCCGGTCCGCCGCCCGTCGTGCAGTGTGTGCCCTCGTCTCCTCGGAGTCGGGATCCTCGTGCAGCTCATCGATCTCCCGGGGAATGCGGAGCGCAGGCTCATCTACCACCTCGGGTATCGGCTCTTGTCTGAGTCATACTCCCTGGGTTAGGGAGGAAAAATGCAATCGCGTCTATCGAAAACGGCATCATCCGAGGGTGGTGCGGACGCCCCGATGGGATCTCGGGTAATAAGTGCAACCTGACGGGCAATCTCCTCCTCCGTCATCCCCCTGCGAGTCCCCGAGCGCACAGGCTCCAACTCGAGTCCTGCCTGGCAATCCAGCATGCCCTCGTCCCGCTGCCATGGCAGCACATAACCGCATCCAGCCCGCCGATACTCAGTCAACCGCACATTTGCGGTGATCTCAACGAGTTGCACAACATTCTCGAAGGCCAACTGGTTGCGCTTCTTCGTGTGAATGCCCTCGTGGACTGCCCAGTTCCTCTCCACTGGAGAGGCGCAAGACCACATGTGCATCACCCGAAGAGCGCAACGCTGCAACTCCGGCGCGCCAGACATGAACTGAGACCACCAAGACGTGCACTCAATCGTCTCGATGTCGCCGCTGCACGCGCGCCCACGAGCACGCCCCTCCGGCCCGCCCCAATCCCCGAACCTGCCCTGCTGAATATGGAAGTCCTCAAACTGCCGACATGCAAGGATGTACTCCGCACCCTCCAACTTGAAACCCGTCTGCATCAGAATGTACCTCTTGGCTTGCCCCACAGACCAAGCATCGTACCGCTCTACCTTCCTCGAAAAGTAGCGAACGTGTCGCCTGCAGGGGTTCAGTAAGAACCCTGCGCAGTGAGCCGGCTCAAGCATGTGCTGTGTGCGAGCCTGCACACGCCTGATGATCCGCTCGGCGAACGACTTCCCCAAAGGGGCGCATGCGACCGTGCCACGGCGGACAAGATCCTGCGTCCACTCGATCATGAGGGACATGTATTGTCCACCACAACCATCCGCCTGAGCAACTCCATGACGGGCTGCATGATATGGACGATGGTGGCCACCCTCTGCCACCGTGGATCCCATCTGATCTGTCGGCACACCCAACGCAACATGACGCACACATCGACGGACCACGGGATGGAAGCAAAAGCCCGCGCGTCGTCCCCTCGCATCATGTCCTGCAGAGTGTCCTGCAGAGTGTCCTGCAGGGCCAACAGCCTCTCCAGCATGGAGTAAACAGACGTGAACCGCGTCTCGCAAGAAAGAATAAGCCCCTTGTCGGGGTTGCGCGTCCTAAAAAAATGAAGGGCGGCCTGGTGGGTTTTTAAAAACACCACCAACACACGAGCGCGTGTGATCGCGTCCACAAACGCGTCGCAACTCGTCCCCATGTCTGACAACAATTTGTTGCATACATGGACGGAGCACGGGAGCCAAGTAATCCTCCTCAGTGCAGGAGGTATGGACGGCGAGGTCAATGCCCTCGCAGCCCCCATATAGGCAGAAGCGGAGTCAGTGCATATCGCATTAATCCGCTGTGGCCCGCCGAAGCTGAACTCGTGGAAGATGGTAACCCATCTCCGAAGGACGTGCATCACATCGTCCGCCTCGCCCTCTCGATTGATTGTCGTATACACGACGACCCCTCGAGAGCCAGCAGCAAGGAAATTCACGATCGGTTTCCCATCTCGTGATTTTCTCCCATCGGAGAGGAAGGTGGCACCAGTCACCCAGAATGGCTGCCTCACCTCCTCCAATTCCTCTGCCAACTCTGCACGGTGGGTCTCCACCGCCCGCATACTCGCAATCTCGCAGTGGTTGGGGAGCACTACACGCGGGGAACTGCCAGGCTGCTCAAGAAGCACCTGTTGATATACCTTTCACGCCTGGTTGCGGAAGGCATTGAAGGAGACCCCGTTGGAATACAGCCAGCGAAGGAACGCCTTCTTGAGGTGAGCAACCCACTCGCCACCGTAGACATCAGTCACCTTCTGCTGGCGAAGCCTCTTCCCTGCTGGGGTGGCAGCCGGATCACTTCCTCCTTCCTTCCTCTTGAAGGACCCCTCCGTTGCAGCTCCCTGTCCTGCTCGCCTCTGCAAGTCCTCCAACCTCTCCCTTGTGCCCGGATAAAACTCTGGCACGTCCTCCCGTTCCGGGACTCCCTCCTCACCCGGGCCACGCGCCTCGCGATCTACGTGGATCAAGCCCTCCTCCGTCTCACCACCTCCACTACCCAAAGTGGGGTCTGCCGTACCATGCCCACCATCTCCCCCGACCCCTCCCTCCGCCGGACGCCGCCCCGCCTCTCCTCCCCTTGCACCACCCGTGCCGGGCACATCGAGTCCGCGCTCCGCTGCATACCTGGCAACCCTCTCCAACTGATCGGCCTCGAACTTCCGTTGAGTCCGTCGAGCAATCTCGTACAACGCCTCGTCGCTGACTTCCTTGCAGTAGTTTGTCTACGAGAAGTGTCTCGCGGCCTGAAATTGGGTCCCTTAGAAAACTTTGTTGCAAACCGTGCAACGGAGCATAATGACCCCCTTGTTGTCGACATTCTGGCCGACAACCGGGTACCAATGGAACAGGGACCGGGCCCTGACTGTGTCCTGCACATGGTCCGCGGCAGCCTCATGCTGACGGCGCTGTGCCCTCCCCATGTCGACCACCCAGGCGAGACAACCCTTGCTGACTCCCCACGACCTCACCGCCGATGCCTAAACCCCCGTTGACTGCTGCCCGTCGCAGGGTCCCCCTTCCCCCAACCCCCTCCTGCAATCCAACCCTCCTTCACTGCCGCCCGCCTCAGGGTCCCCCGCGTCAAGGTCCCCCGTTTAGCGGCCCCCACAGTCTGCCCCGCTCGCCCGAACCCACGCGCAGTCGACCGAACCGCCACAAACGCACCGCGGGCCCGCACGTTAAACTGCGTTTAACGCCGTTCAAACGCGTTAAAACGCGTCGAATCGTGTTTAACGCCGTTGAATTAAAAATTCAACGGCGTCTTTCCGGACCGCGCGTGCCGGTTCGCAGCCATCGCCGCGCACTTCGCTGCTCCGCCTTCGTCCAGTCGACGTCGTCGCTCCGCTGTGCTCCACGCTCCGCTGCAACAGCTGTCTCTCTCTCTCTCTCTCTCTCTCTCTCTCTCTCTCTCTCTCTCTCTCTCTCTCTCTCTCTCTCT